TTTTCATAGATACTTTTTACTATGTTGAAGAAATTAGCCTCTAGTCCTATTTTGTTGAGTGCTTTAATCATGAAAGAGTGTTGGATTTTATCAAAGGCTTTTTCTGCATCAATTGATAGGACCATATGGTTCTTGTTCTTTGCCTTGTTGATGTGATGGCTTACACTATTGTTGTATCTCTTTGTCTATCTGAGATGACAAGGATTTTCAAGTTATGTTCAATACTTGTATGTATTTTTTATTTTAGCTCTTATTTCCTCTTTGATGCAGATATTTTTACAAAACTATTTTTAAAAATGTTTCAAAGTTTTGGTATTAATTTTAGACATAGAATGAATGTTTTGGTCTGTACATATTATAAGACATTGAAACTAATAGGTTTTAGAAGAGTGGGGAAGAGTAAATGATAGAAGGTGGAAGAGGGACATGAGTATATAAAAATATAATTTGTCTAAATTTCTGTATTTGTTATGCTATCTTAACATCTTTCAGGAGGCCACGCTGAACATGTTATATCACACCAAGCCTGTCTTTTCTTGTAAGTTCTTTCTCCTTTCTCTCTCTGTTGCATTCTCTTTCTCTTATATTCTTGCTCTTTCTCTCATACAAACATTCCTCCATATTGAGTCCATCTATAAGAAAAGCAAGGGACATATGGAGAGGGCCATATCTGACCTTTACCAACTTCTCGAAAGGCAACGGGCTCTGTCAACAGAATTAACAACACCAACCCAATTCCCATGAGCTTAGACATGTTGCCTACACTCCTGTACCTCTTTCTTCTTGTCTCAACACCAATCTTATTACTTTGCTGGGTTCCAAATCTGATACAATAGCTCATAGACCACACAGAATGATAACAGGGAAGTAAAAATGCTATAATTCAGGTGAGTAGCAGAATAAGTTAGAACAGCTTCTGAAATGTGTTCACGGGCGCCTCAGCCTTGAGCCTTGCACTTTTGTTTTTGTTGTTATGTGTCATTGAGTTGCCTGTGACTTATAGTGACCCTATGTACAATAGCCCTAAACCCTGTTCTATCCTTTGCCAATTTTGTCCCTGACACATCTATCCCCATTATCCCACTGACTGAATCAATCCATCTCATCAAGAGTCTTCCTCTCCTGTGCTGTCCCTACACCCTGCCAAGCATAACATTCCTCTCAAAGGACTGATCCCACCTTGCAACATGTCCAAAGTATGTCAGACAAAGCTTCAGCATCTTTGCCTCCAAGGAGAAGCCTGGCTTCACCCTCTCCAGGATGAACTTGTTTGTTCTCTTAGCAGTCCATGGTATATTCAATACTCTTCTCCAGCACCACAGCTCAAAGGCATCAACTCTCCTTCTATCATCCCTAGTCCTTGTCCAGCTCTCTGATGCCTAGCAAGTAATTACAAAGACCATGGCCTGTATCAGGCTCACCTTAGTCTCCAGACTGACATTGTTGTTCTTCAGTACTTTGGAGAGGTCTCTGATAGCAGACTTTCCCAGTGAAATTAATCTTTTAATTTCCTGGCTGCTGGTACCAAGAGTGTTAATTGTAAAGCCAAACAAACTGCAACTGTCAACAATCTCAATCTCTTCACCATCTATCATAATGCTTACAATTGGCCCAGGGGTGAGAATCTTGGTTTTCTTGATGTTGAGCTTAAGACTGCAGCCATTGACTTTCTGCAGCAAGTGCTTGAGGTCCTCCTCAGTTTCAGCAAGCAGGGTTGTATCATCTCTATAATGCAGATTGTTGATGAGTCTACCTCCAGTCCTGATGCCACACTTCTCACAGAGTCCAACCTACTGGATAATCTGTTTTGCATGTAGATTGAAAAGATATGGAGATAGGACACATCATTAATGCACACCCTTCCCAATTTTGAACCAGGTAGTGTCTCCTTGCTTTGTTCTGACGACTACCTCCTGGTCCAACTATAGGTTTTGCATAAGCACAATATAGTGTTCTGGGATTCCCATTCTGCTCAGAGTAAGCCACAGTTTGTTATGATTCACACAGTCAAATGCCTTTGCATAGTCAATGAAACACAGATAGACATTCCTCTGGTATTCTCTGCTTTCAGCCAATATCCACCTGACATTAACTCTAATATCCATAGTGTCACGGCCTCTTCTAAACCCAGCCTACACTTCAGGCAGTTCTCTGTTGATGTGCTATTCCAGTCATTTTTTTTTTATAATCTTCAGCAGAATTTTGCTTGCATGTGATATCAGTGATACTGTTTTATAATTTCCACACTCTTTTGGGTTACCTTTCTTTGGAATAGGACAAATATAGATCTCTTCCTGTCAGTTGGCCAGGTGGTTGTCCTCCAGATTTCTTGGCACAACTTGGTGAATGTGTCCAGGGTAGCGGCTGTTTTTTGAAATATGTCATTTGGTAGGTCATCAATTACTGGGTCCTTGTTTTTTACCATTCTTCCTTCATCACCACAGGCTCATGCTCATATATTGTTTCATGAAATTCTTGTGTCCACCAATTCCTTTTGGCACAATGAATCTGTATACTCTTTCCATCTTTTAATGCTTCCTGGATCATTTAATATTTTGCCCAAAGCATTCTTAAGTATTGCAACTCGAGGTTTGAATTTGTTGTTCACTTCCTTCAGGTTAGGAAATACTGAGCAAGTTCGGCCCTTTTGCTTTTCTGAGCCCAGCTTCTTGCATATTGCATTGTAGCACCTTTACACCAGTGTTATAAAATTTCCAGCTAATATCGGCTTCCTCTAATCTCCAAGTCCTCCAACAAACTTGGGCAAAAGGCTTTTAGCTCTGGCTCCATGGCATAGCTGTCCCAAGGTCTGCTCTATTTCGTGTCAGATCTCTGCTTGTCTGCCATGCCTGCTGTAATCCTGCTGTTGGATCCTCTCAATTTAATAGTGAGACTAGCAAATCCCCTTGTAAATTGGTGAGACTAACCAGTCCCCTTGTAAATAGGCTAACACACCCTATTCATATATCCCCATGTCAATCTAGAGACTAAAATGCTTCTAATCCAGGCCATGGTCTTCAGAGTTACTTGCTATGCACCAGAGACCTTGGCAGTGACTAAGGAAGACAGAAGAAGAATCGATACCTTTAAATTCTGATTCTGGTGCTGGAGAAGAGTCTTGAACATACCATGGGCTGCCAAAAAACCCAAATAGATCTGTCTTGGAGAGGGTGAAACCAAGTTTCTCCTTGGAGGCTAGGATTTTGAAGCTCTGTCTCACATACTTTGGGCATGTGGCCAGGAGAGACCAGTGCTTGGAGAAGGACATCATGCTTGGAAGTGTGAAGGGACAACACAGGAGAGGAAGACCCAGGATGAGATGGATTGTAACTAAGGTGATGTAGGTTGGTGTGTTGGAATTAGTGACACTGGCTCAAGATAAGGCAGGCTTCAGAGCTGCTGTACATAAAGTTGCTATGGGTCACAGGTGACTCAATGGCACATAACAACCACCACCACCACATGGCAAAGTAAAATTCAGTGGCTAGGAAAGCCATTTTCAACACTAAACTCAGCTCGTGGGAATACAGAGGAAAGACTGGAAATCTGCTTTTGTAAAGATTACCACCAAGAAAACCTTATTAGAACTGTTGTGCTCTATAACTGTGATAGAGCAGCCATGAACACAAATCAATTCCTGAGTGATGGGTTTGATTTTTGTTTGGGGTTGTCTGCTAACCCGTCTCTCAGTTTCTTCTTTTGTTCCCTTATTGTCTGTTCTCAACATAACTACCAGAGTGATTTATTAACAATTCAGGCCTTTGTGCCTTTGCCTTAGCACTCTGAAGAAAAGCCAGTAATCTTAGAGCAGTTCTTAGACACATGATCTGACTCTTTATTTCCTCTCCTAGGTTGTTATTGTCAAGGAAGTCAAGGGGCTTAGTGGTTAAAGGAATCCACTGCTAACTGAAAAGTCAGTGGTTTGAGTCCACCAGATGCTATATGGGAGAAAGATGTGGCAGTCTGATTTCAAAACAGTGACAGCTTTGGAAACCCAATGAGACAGTTCTCTGTCCTCCTGGGTCATTTTGATTCCGAATCAACTTGATGGTGTGTTTGTTGTTGTTATAACTTTCTATCTTGCTCACTCTTCTCCAGCCTTACTGGCTTCTCTGTCCCTGTGCCTTTACAAGAAAGGTTTGGTTTGGTATAGTATGTGGTGAAACTTTATCTCACATAGATGTTATCAGGAGGGGGTCAGTCTTTGGAAAAAAGCACCATGCTGTGAAAGGTGGAGGGTATGAGGAAGAGAGAAAGACCCTTGACAGAATGAACTGACTCCATGACTGTGAAAGTGGGTTCAAGTATGACATAAATGGTGGGGATGGTGCAGAACAGGACAAGGTTCCATCCATCTGTTGTTCCTTGAGTTGCTCTGAGTCCTAGTCTATCTGATAGCACCTAACAAGGGCTCTCCCATTGGAGATACCCTGCCCTCATACATTCAATTGGTTCACTCCTTTGCTTCTGGGTTTCTCTTGCTCATATGTATTATTAGAAAGGTATTCCCTGGCAACTTTCTAAACTACAGTTACTGCCTGTATTTTAATTTTTCTTTAGGATGTATCATGTGAAACCTAACATAATTACTTATCTGTTGATTATTTTCCTCCATAGGTTATAATCTCCCAGAGGATGGAGACTATGTTTTGTTCACTTTTTTTTCTTAGAGGACTTAGAAATCAGTGTCTGGAACATAGTATATGCTTAATAGCTATTTGTAGAGCAGGTGAATTAAGGGGTCCGGTCTGGATGGACAGACTCGGGAATGTTTTCAAAATACCGACTCCTCTGAAAAGCCACGAATGACTAGGTGAGAGCTGTATTTGTGAGTAAGTAATTTTGCAGATTAAGAAAAGAAAGACCAGTATGTTTTATAAATTTACTGTGGCATTTGTTTATTCAACAGTAAAAGAAAAGTAAGTATCACAAAGCAAGTGACCCAAAACAGCACATTTTGTGCCTGTCTTTCGCCACTTGGCGGCATCCAACAGGCGTGTTTATTCTGCACTGACTTTGGTGTGGACCTCCCGGCTCTTCACCCTCAGCTTGTTGACCTGGGACTCAGCGATGTCAGCCCGCTCCTCAGCCTCTTCCAGCTCGTGCTGGAGTTTGCGGAATTTAGCGAGGTTAGCATTGGATTGTTCCTCCTGAGAACAAAGATATATTGTGAGGATAAGACTTTGAGCTCCTCATTGCACTTGTTACAAGACAGGATTATTTCTTGATACTAGATGCTTCCTTCTTATGGTCTGTTTGCCATTGCTGATGTCAAGTACAGACAGAATTTGTAACTTGACAGTTTTGAAGTGGTGGGGACAGACAGCCTTATTACATCGAAGTAATCTGCTTGTGTGTTCTGTGAGTGATGTGTAGGCTGGTTAAGGAGGGGGAAGAGATCATGAGCTCTTGAAGCTTAAGAGAGAAATGTAAAATCAAGTTATAACTGAGCAATCCCACTATAGCATTTTTTCAGGATATATATTTTTTCCTATGTTTATACAGAGGAAGGGAAAGGGTGGATGCTAGGAAGAAAGTCTGCATCTGTTTATTTGATTTATAACCATTAATGCCTTTCCCTCCTGTCTACTTTCTGCCTACCGTAATGTGTGTGAAAGACTGGGGAGACAGAAAAAGCGCAGCTGGAGGCCCTTCCAGTATGGCTTCTCAGTAGCTACAGCAAATGCACAGAGAAGCCCAGTGGGTAACACTGTGGAGAGTGCATGATCAGTGCTTTAATACATAAGTTTGGATTTTATGAACACTTGATTTTGTGCATTTTAGGAGGGCAAGAATATTGACTGATAATTAGACGTTTTACTATATATTTTTTTTGTTGCTATTAATTTAAGGGGGCTGTTTGGAATTGTTTTTACCCCCCCCCGTCTTTATAAGTTAACAATAGCTAATATCTACTTTTGAGGTCTTAACTCTGTAATTTAGGACTTGGCGATAAGTTTCTATTTCTAAAAGTTCCCCTCCCCCTGCCCCCTCAGCTACTTAAAATATGAATGTAAAATATTAGTATATTATCTTTCTTTCTCAGCAATACATTATTTTAAGATACTTCTGAACCCCTAAAGAAATTTATACTTTCCTCCCAGTTGTAAAGATACTTACAGCTTCCTCTGCCTGCCTCTTGTATGATTTCACTTTCGCCTGCAGTTTATCTACCAAGTCCTGCAGCCTGAGGACATTCTTGCGATCTTCCTCAGTCTGAAAGTTTAAAAAAAAATCTGCTTTTAGCCCAAAGAAACAAGCCTGTAGGTGACAAAATACATTGCAGTGCCATGAAGGCACGTGGCCTGTAGTACAGCTGGTCCCCTCTGGGGATTCCATCGAGTATTGGTTGACCCAATGGCACCTCACAACTGCTCTTATGAAATGTCTACTAGATGCCATGCACTATATTAGGAAACAACACAATTCTTCCCTAATCCTTACCTCCTGACCCTGCAAAGTATCCCTATGTTTCAGATGGTGAAACTAAGATTTAGAGTGTTAAGTAATCTACCCAAATTTGTAAAGCAAGTCAGGCCAAACTAAGACTAATAGTTAGCTTATTTGACTTGAAAACTCATGCCATTTTCTTTCTCACACTATTTCCTAAGGCATTTCTGATCTTCTTAGGTCCTTGCAGGTCTGAGATGAGCAGCTGTGCTGATTGCTCCATACACATGCTGAATTAGTACATAGCTATTTGTGAGTACCAGAGAAATGGTCACCAGGTTGTAAGTTTTTCTTACGACATACAGGAAGTGTGGGTGCTATAGAAAGCTAGTCCCCCTTACCTGGTAGGTGAGCTCTTTCACTCTTCTCTCGTGCTTCCTAATACCCTTAACAGCCTCCGCATTACGTTTCTGTTCATTTTCAACTTCGCCTTCAAGCTCCCGTACCTGCAACCCAAAACATTTAAAAAACAAACCAACCGTGGTAGCCCAGAACTGACTGAAAGCATTGAGGGGCTACATTGTGGCTTGTAGGTCGAGGATGAGTTATTGTGTAGTAGGATAGAAGGGCATAGGGGACACATTTCCCCCCCTTCCCAGATTCAAAGAGATACCTACTCTGGCCTCCAGTTTCTGGATCTGCTTCTTGCCGCCCTTCAGGGCCAGCTGCTCAGCCTCGTCCAGACGGTGCTGCAAGTCCTTCACCGTCTGCTCCATGTTCTTCTTCATCCGCTCCAGGTGCGCGCTGGTGTCCTGCTCCTTCTTCAGCTCCTCGGCCATCATGGCGGCCTAATTAGAAAAGAAAGCAAGAAAGCAGTGACACCTGGGGATGATAGGTCGAAGCCCATGTCACTAGGACAGACTCTCTTCTTGCTTACATCAGTGATGGCCTTCTTAGCCTTCTCTTCTGCATTGCGTGATTCTTGAATTGCTTCTTCTACTTCACTCTGGAGTTGTGAGACATCATTTTCCAGTTTCTTCTTGGTGTTGATCAGGCTGGTGTTCTGTTGAAACAGAGGGTGGAAATTTATAAGATGTACAGTTTGTACCCTCTTGGGATTTCACACATCGCATGTGCTGGATTTTGTTAGCAGCACAACATGCCACAAACAGACTAGGTTACGGAGACTGCTCATGTGTTGGCTTTTATTTTTTTCTACTAGTTTATTTACAAAATTCTAATACAAATTCTAACAGATTCTTTCAGTTTCTCTCGCACCCCATCCATCAAATTGTACAACCCAATGATTAATCCCCTCTTCGCTGTGCACACCCACATCCCTCTGCTTGCAGCCTCTCCCACCCCTCCTGGATCCTTATACTCATTCTAAAATAACAGTCTTAGATGATATTTATCCTTGTGGGACTGAGTTAGTTCACTCAGCATAATGCTCTCCAGTCCCTCCCAAGTTAGGTAATAATTTACAAAGTTATTGCTCCTGCGTGCTATATAGAATTCTATTGTGTGAATGTACCATCATTTCCCAATCCATTCTTTTGTGGTTGGACATTTGGACTGTTTCCATGTGAATAATGCTGCTATGAACATTGGTGTATAAATCTCAGTTTGTGCCTCAGTTCTCATATTCTCAGGGTATAGTCCAAGTAGTGGAATAGCTGGGTGATTTTGCAAGTGACTTGATGCCAAGATTTCAGTAAACTTTAAATATTAGTTCAGAGCCAAAACTGATCATCTACAGAAAGAGCTCTGGTGCCACGGTACAAGTGCTCAGCTCCTAACAGAAGTCAGCAGTCTGAACCCACCAGACACGCTATGAGAGAATGAGGTGGCAGCCTGCTTCCCTAAAGATCTGCCAGCCGGGGAAGTCCTATAGAGCATCTGTGCCCTGTCCTAGGGGGTCACTATGAGCTGGGATAGATTCGATGGCATTCTTTTTTAAATTTCTCCTTGCCCTAATCTCCATCTCATTTACACATAAGGACTTCTGAGGTTTAAGAATGCTCAGATTTGTGCAAATTTATTTCTAGCTTTTTTAAAAAAATTGTTCTTCTGGGGAGAGAGGGGAGGAAAAAGAAGTGCAACAATGGAAAAAAAATGAGAACATTTTTTATGTTTGAAAAATGTAAAAAGTAAAAGAATAGAAAAATATTACTATTTTAATTATATTTCAATCATATATCACTAGTCTCCTATTCATAAAATATAGTAAATACACTAGAAAAGGTTATTTTTTTCTAAGTAACTGGCATTAGGAGTTGCTCAACTAGAAAGAATCTGTTATGAGGAGTTGCTCAATTAGAAAGAATTAGCTATCCATTTCTGATATAACAGGCCTCTGGAAACCCTGTAAGCAATAGAGGGATACAAGCAGAGGTGGAGCCCAGATGGGAAGTCATTCAGAATGAGAAGAAATAGATGAAAGGTGGGGGTTAAATGAAAGAGAGGAAGATCCTCAGTGAAATGGATTGACACAGTGACTACAGTGATAGGCTTAAGTGTGCTAGAGATGATGAAGACAACACAGGATAGGGCACGTTTCAGATCTGTTGTACATAGGATTGCTAAGAGTAGTATTTGACTTGATGGCACCGAACAACAACAATGGCTTTCTCCTCCTGAGAATATCAGTTTACCATGTTGTTATTGTTATGTGCCTTCAAGTTGCTTGCGACTCATAGTGATCCTATGTACAACAGCCCTAAACCCTGCGCTATCCCTTGCCCGTCTTATTATCTCTGACATGTCCATCCCCATTACCCCAGTGACTAAATCAGTTCATTTCATTGAGGGTCTTCTCTCCTGCGCTGTCCCTATACCCTCCCAAGCATGGTGTCCCTTTCCAAGGGCTGATCTCTCTTGCAGTATGTCCAAAGTATGTCAGACGGAGCTTCAGAATCCTTGCCTCCAAGAACAGTGTGACTTCACCCTCTCCAGGACGACCTTGTTTGTTCTTCTAGCAGTCCATGTTCCAGCACCAAGGCTCAAAGGCATCTACTCTCCTTCTGTCATCCTTAGTCATTGTCCAGCTCTCTGATGCATAGCAAGTAATTGCAGAGACCATGGCCTATATCAGGCACACCTTAGTCTCCAGAATGACATCGGTGCTCCTCAGTACCTTGGAAAGGTCTCTGACAGCAGACTTTCCCAATGCAATTTGTCTTTTAATTTCTTGGCACCTGGTACCAAGAGGGTTGATTATAGAGCCAAGCAAATTGAAGCTGTCAACAATCTCAATCTTTTCATCGTATTTTAAAAATTTCAATGCAGTGGTTCTCAAAGCGAAGCAATATTGCCTTAGTGAGGGAATTTGGAAGCATTTTGGGTAGTTGTTGTGGGTTCTCAGAATGACAAGGGGATGCGACTAGGATGCTTGTGCAGGGCCAGCATGCTGGAATGCGCTGCAGGGCACGGGGTGGGGGGGGTGGGAACAGCCACAGCTAGCCTGTGCCTGTGCCTGCTGAGACACACTGCATGGAGCGCTTTCAGATGTTTGACTCAACAGGTATTTTACACAGGCATATTCTACATCATAGTTTTCAAATTAAAGAGTAAAACCAAAAATATTTTTAAATAAATAACTTCTTTCTTTTTCTTGGTAGAAGTGTATGAAAAAGGCAATTAGGCACCCACACACACACACACACACACCACCTATGATCCTATCTAAAAATAGCTGGAATTAAAATTTCAAAACACATCTCTGATCTTTTATTTACACACATTTACAGAAACAGGGCACTTCTGTATCGTAATTCTAGTTTCATCCTTTACCAGCACACTAGCACTTCCTGGTTGTGGGAATCCTACCTGGGTATGCAGCAGCTGCACCCGCTCGCTGGCGTCCAGCAGCTCCTGCTCAGCCATCTTCCTGCTCCGCTCTGTCTGCTCCAGGGAGGCCCGCAGCTCCTCCACCTCTGCCTGCAGCAGGTTGCCTCTGCGCTCCACGATCGCCAGCTGCTCCTTCAGGTCCTCCTGGCCCCGCAGAGCGTCGTCCAGGTGGAGCTGCGTGTCCTGTTAAATGGGGGAGAAAATATTCCTACTAGAAGATGAGCAGGGAGGGTAGACTGGTCCCCAAAACAGGACTGAGATGCCTCCCATTCCAGTGAGAATGATGCTCTCAGAAGCTTAGGGAGTCAATAAGAATCGCCTTAGAGAAGGAGAGAATTATTAGGAAATATGGAATTCCTTTCTTGTTCTTCCAGTAACCAGTTTGGTTTCTGTTTAGGGGTGTGTGTGTGTGTGTGTGTGTGTGTGTGTGTGTGTGTGTGTGTGTGTGAGAGAGAGAGAGAATCACTAATATCTATCATTTATAGGTTATTTTCCATATTGTCTTCCAGGTGTCAAATATTGGTCTCATTTGATACAGTAACCCTATAAAATGGATAGTTATTTTGTAGAAAAAACCAATGTTCTGAAAGGTTAAATCACTTGTCTGAAGCCAGGTAGCTAACAAGTACAAGACTTGAGCCCACTTTCGGGCCTATCTGATGCCAAAAGTCTGTACTTTCTCTCAAATCAGACCTTAATATGTGAGCTGCTGAGTTTTTTCTACACAAAATTACTTTGGAGATTCCATGTTCTTTGTATATTTTATTTAGCTCCCTCTATTGTTATCAGGCTCTATGATTTGTTAAGTGGCATCAACATGCCTCTGGAAACTATAAACTTTGAGAAATGACGATAGTTATAGAAAGGCTTAAGGTCTTTTGTTCATAAGGTCGCTATGAGTCATGCTCAGCTTGACAGCAATCAACAACATCTGTCAGCTCTGCGATTTGTTAAATGAATAAAAACTCCTGATGGTTAAACAGACAGGTGGTGTTTTGGGGACTGACAGCTCTCCTGGGTTCTTGAGCTGCTCGTGTGACTTTACCTTGAGGACACCTTGGGTGTTCCTATAGTTTCTCAGGCTCTCAGCAGCCAAGCGGTTGGCATGATTCAGCTGGATTTCCATTTCATTCAAATCTCCTTCCATCTTCTTCTTGACTCTCAGAGCATCATTTCTGCTTCTGATCTCAGCATCCAGTGTGCTCTGCATGGTTTCCACAATTCGAATGTGGTTCCTCTTCAGCTGGTCAATTTCCTCATCTTTTTCTGCAATTTTCCTATCAATTTCAGACTTGACTTGGTTCAACTCAAGCTGGATACGCAGGATCTTTCCTTCTTCATGTTCAAGAGAAGCCTAAGAAAAACAGTGAGCAACTAATTAAAAAAGCTAGGATGTATGGAATGCATACTTGTGTGAGCCAAATTCTTATTAATATCAGTTTACTTCATTTTAAAAGTAGATGTAATAGTTCTAATAATATGCTAGGTATCATTTTGTTTATTCAGTTACAAATGATATAGGGCTGTGACAGATGATATAAGGTGATATGGGTTAGATAATCTGTAAAAGATAAACTCACTAAAAGAAAACCCCAAACAAAAACAAAACTTTTAGGAACTCTGGTTGCTGAGTGGATAAAGAATTGCACTGCTGACTTAATGGAAGGTGGTTCAAATTCACCAGCTGCTCCATGAGAGAAAGATGGCAGTCTCCTCCCATGTGATTTATAGCCTTTGAAAGATAAAAGTGCTACATAAACACTGTTCATAGTAGTTTGTTATTGCTTTTTAAAAACATTTTTTTAAATTTTTTTTATGTGTACCGTCAAATTGGTGCAGGAGGAGATTGTCCCTCCTTCTCGAGCAGAGCATCTGGTGGATTTGAACTGCTCACCTCTGGGAAATTCTGGGATTTATTTTAATTTTATTTTATTATTTTTGTGTGTGTACCATCAAATCAGATTTGACTGGTACAGAAGGAGATTGCCCTTCTTCTCCAGCAGAGCATCTGGTGGATTCAAACCATGCACCTCTGGGATTGCAGTACAGCTTTCTGCCACTAGGCCACCAGAGCTCCTTTAGTAGTTTGTTATTGTTATGTGTCATAGGGTCAGAACTGATGCAGAGCTGACCCTCCAGCAGTTTTTCAGAGTTTATAAATGGCCTGTGAGGAGTTAGCCAGTCTCTATTCCATGGAGCACCTGGTGGATTCCAAGCATACACCTTTGTCTTGGAAACACATCTTCTTACCGTTAGGCCACCAGGGCCCCCTATTTCACGTTAGCAGTCATACAACCAAAACTTGTATTATTAAATCTATGTATAATAATGATTCTGTGTGCTTCCTGAAATATCTCAGTACAGAGTCTCTACTACACATAAATTTAATAATACTGTTTTTGCTTGTGTGAATACTGACTTGAATAGGGAGTTCTGGTGGCTTCATGTGTCAGAGATTGGAAGGATGGCACAGGATAGCGAAGGGTTCAGATCTGCTGTTCATAGGATTGCTGTGAGTCATACTTGAGTCAATGGCACACAACAACAGTGCATAGTAAACATGAATTCTCTGTTTTAGAAACTGACTCGTCCATGTGGGATCTATTTTTATTATAGAAAAGTACCTGGGTTTTTTTTGTTTGTGTTTTTAAAAGAAAACCTCTTTTTTTCTGACAATACATGTTCGTTGTAAAATGCAGGGGTAATATATAATAACAGCAACAACAAAAAATGCCTAGCTATTGTGTTTCCACATTTTAATGCAGTCCCTTTTTGTTTCAGGATTCTGAGGCTCCGTCTGACTTACTTTGGACATGTTGTGAGGAAAGATCAGTCCTTAGAGAGGGACATCATGCTTGGGAGGGTGGAGGGATGGCGCAGGAGAGGAAGGCTCTCTGTGAGGTGGATTGATTCAGTGACTGGGATAATTGGGATGGGAGTGTCAGAGACAGTGCGATTGGCACAGGACAGAGCGGAGTTTAGGGCTGTTGTACATAGGGTCCCTATGAGTCGCAGGCGACTCGACGGCACATAACAACAACAACAACATTGTATTTGAGCTTCTATCTCACTTCAAAATTGCTTTTTAGCACAAATATTTTACCATATTAATAATGTTTAATGACTGTATAAAATTTTAGTATATAATTTGCTGATTTTTATTTTTGCATTGGAATCTTGGTGCTTAAGGCTTTGCCTCTAGTTAAGATTATTTTCTTGGGATTTATTCTGAGAAATAAAGTTAATGAGCTAGAGTCTATACATTTTTAAAGCTTTTGATAATTATTGCCAGCATCCCCTTCTTAAAGCCTATAGGCTTTAAATGCTCACCAGCTCTATAATATGTATCAGTCTTACAGTATTTTTGTTCTCTTTGAGGATTTTCACCAGTTGGAGTTTTATTTGGTCCCATAACATAGTAATGTATACCTCTGCTTCTTCTAAGGCAGCCTGGATATCACATTTCTCTTGTTCCACTTGCTTCTTTATTTTCTCCAACTCATGAATTTGCTTCCCTCCCTCGGCAATCTGCTCTGTGAGGTCAGAAATCTCCTCTGATGGTGATCAGATAAGAGAAACATGATCAGATATGTGGGGAAACAAAAGGTTCTATCAGGTCTAAAAGGGGCAGAGAAGTTCAAGAGGACTCACGTTGCAAGTTCTTATTTTCCCTCTTCAACATTTCAAGTTGGTCCAGGGATTCCTCATAGGCATTCTTCACCTTGAAGAGCTCAGTGCTGAGAGAGCGAGACTCCTTCTGGGAGGCCTCCAGTTCAGCCTGAGTTTCCTCATACTTCTGTCTCCATTCTGATAGGACCTGCAAAGCAAGAAAGCATCAGCTTGCACAAGGTAAAAGAGACACCAAGTCAGACACGTCCAGGTTTAACCAGGCATCTCTGACCACCTTATCAAAGTTCCTTTGCTTTTTGTCCAGAGCTGCGCAGGCAGCATTCGATCTTTCCACGTCGAGCATGAGGTCCTCCACTTCGTTCTGCAGCCTCTGCTTCGTCTTTTCAAGAGAAGCACATTTAGCATTGACAGCTTCAACGTGCTCCTCAGCATCCTGCAGACGCTGTGTCAGCTTCTTCCTGGGGAAATAGCCAAGCCATGAAAGAGAGTGATGAAGAATACTGGCAATACTCTACCTTTCCTGGGTTCCTTCTACATTCCTGAGTCTAGACTGATAAACTGTGTAACAAGATCCAAAGTAGTCAACAGTTGGGTTCAAGGGCTTGTTGAATTGTTGGAGGTCACTCTTGTTGTTATAATGTATCACATTAAATAAGTCAAGATTTCCAAGATTTATTATTGAGTATACTTGTGACCCAAACCCCCTTAGTCTTTTTTTAAAAAACAGATTATATATTGCATCTTACTACAGAGAGAATTTGAGGGAGCCCTAAGTGGTAATCTACCAGCTGCTCCATGGGAGAAAAATAGGCAGTCAATTCCTATGCTTTTTGTACTGCCTCTGAAAATCTGCTGGAGGGTAAAGCTATGAGTTAGTTGACTCCAATTCGATGATCTACAACAAAAACAACAGGTATTTCACTAAATAACTGTAGAGTGAGCATATTCATCTGCACTCTCAGATTTTTCACTTCATACCTTTCTTCCCCCTTAGGTTAGCCAGTTTCTTCTCATCGTAAAAATTATACTATCTACCAAGAATTTGATCTGGATAAATCAGAAAGAACAATTCATGTAGTTTAAGCACGAGTTGGGTTTTTTCCCTTTCTGGATTTCTATTTTATTCCAAATTTTGTAGCACATATATATCCTTAAGGTAGCCCTGGTGGTGTAGTCTGGAGAGAATTGTACTTCTAACACAAAGTCACCCTTTCTGTTGGTTCAAATCTATTACCTGCTCTGTGGGAGAAAGATGGGCAGTCTCCTCCCATGCAATTAACAGAGTTATAAACCTGTTGGAGGGTCAGTTATAAGTCTGAAATGGTTTAACAGAAATGAATTAAGGAGTTTTTAAAAATATACCCTTAAAGTCTTTATGCCCAGGAGTATCTTCTCTAGTCTCTACAAAGACTAAGTATTTACTTAATTTAGACCAACTCTAGGCATTATGTACAGTTTGACGGCCTCCAATATGAACTTTAAAGGGGTATGTCTCTGTGTACTGCAGTCCTTAAGAACATGGACCCTGGATTACAAATGCCTGGTACTAATCCTACCTATATGATATTTTAGCCATATAACTATAACAACGACAACATAGAGAGAGCTACGTTGGCCTAGTGGACAGAAAGTTATGCTACCAAGTGCAAGGTGGGTGATTTTAATCTGAGACCCTCAGGCCTGGTTCAAATTGTTTTTCTGTCAAACATTCTTCTAGGTGGTCTAGCATTGGTCTGTGCATTGCTATGCAGAGGTAACTCATGGTTGCTGTGAAGCTGAATACTGTGACACTGATGTGCCAAATGTGGTAATGGTTACCCATGGTGGACAGTGTTTCCTGGAGCTTCCTGGTTAAAACAAGCCTGGAAGCAGGAGTGGCATCCACTTCCGAAATGGCTTGCCTCTGGAAACTCTATGAACAGTACTCAGGCCTTTCGTTCATAGGGTCGCTATGAGTCGTCTATGACTCGACAGCACCTAACAACAACAACAACAACAACTATGGTTTATAGTTGTTTAACCTCTTAAAGACTTTATTTCCTTATCAGTATAATTGTTGTTGTTATTAATTGCCTTCAAGTTGAGCATGACTCATAGCGACCCTATGAACAAAAGGTCTGAAGCCCTTATCCAACAATCAACATTATCCAAGTTCATAGTTTCTGGAGGCAAGTTATTTAGGAAGTGGATGCCACTCCTGCTTCTAATAATAATAATAATAATAATAATACGCGTTTTGGTAGCTTACTGAAAATCACTTAACTGAAAAATCACTTGAAGCACTCAGTAAACATAAGTTTCTAATATTATTTTGTTACCACTATCATCAAAAACATCACAGCTGCTTCTGGGAATTGCTGAGTTGGGCAGCTAAGACACTAATTTTTTTTCCTCCTCCTAAGTTCATAGAAGACTATTTTAGATAGACTCGTAATGAGTCGCAGGCGACTTTAAGGCACATAACAATAACAACAAATTCATAGAACATACTTGGCCTCCTCCAGCTCCTCCGTGCGCTGGATGGCGTCCGTCTCGTATTTGGTCCTCCACTGGGCAACCTCACTGTTGGCCTTGGACAGCGCCCTCTGCAGCTCGGCCTTGGCTTCCTGCTCCTCCTCATACTGTTCCCGCAGCAGGTCGCAGTCATGGCGGGAGGACTGCAGGGCGTGGGCCAGGGCGTTCTTGGCCTAAGACAGTACCAGTTGAGTGACTTTTATTCTTTTATTCAGTGGTAACTCAATTTGCACACCTCAAGTAGAAACTAGGTGGATTTGATTAGGCAAACAGATCTTTGATAAACTCACTTTCATTTCTTCCTCTAGCTGACGCTTTAGCTCCTCATTCTGCTGAGTAGATGCCTGTTTGCCCCTTGAAAGCTGAGAAACTAAAACATCTTTCTCATCTAGTTGTCGGGAGTATTCACCTATAAATAATTGAAGCAAAAAAATTTGTTAATGGCACACTTGGCCAACTGACTGGAAGAGATCTATATTTGTTCCCATTCCAAAGAAAGGTGACCCAACCGAGTGTGGAAACTACAGAACAGTGTCATTGATTTCACATG